CCCCACGCCCCCCACGCCCCCCACAATAAAGATGCGGCACCGGGTTTTGTACCCGTGGCTCCTGTTCCGTCCCTCGCCTCGGGGGGACGGGGCGGGGAGGGGGCTGCTGGCGGCAGAGTGTCACCGTGTCACCGAGCTGCCAGGTGTCACTGAGCTGCCAGGTGTCACTGTGTCACCGAGCTGCTGAGTGTCACCGTGTCACCGAGCGGCCAGGTGTCACTGAGCGGCCAGGTGTCACGGAGCTGCCAGGTGTCACCGTGTCAGGGACACGCTGTGTCACCGTGTCACCGAGCGGCCAGGTGTCACCGTGTCACCGAGCGGCCAGGTGTCACTGAGCGGCCAGGTGTCACGGAGCTGCCAGGTGTCACCGTGTCACCGAGCTCCATCACAGCCCAGCAGTGTCAGCCCTGTGCCCAGCAGTGTGGGGTCTGGGGGGGCTCGAGGGGGTTCCCAGCTGGTTTTGGTGTGGTGTGACTGGGGTGGGAGGTGCTGGGACCCCCCAGGTGCCATGTCCTGCTGTGCCAGGGCACCTCCGGGCCCCCTGTGCCCTCAGGTGAGGGGGCTGGCCTGGGGGGGTGACAGGCAGGTTCCTGCCCTTGGGGGGGCCCTGTGGTGCCACTGAATCCCCCTCTGGGGGTGCTTTCAGCCCTGCTGGGGGGTCAGCCCCCGTTCCTCCAGGGCTGTTTGCTGGGCCTGGGGGGGCTCGGGGGGCTGTGCCCTGCGAGGGCAGGGTGGAGCAGGGGCAGGTCCCGGGTGTCGTTGTAGAACCGGCTCCAGGCTGGGTCTGGGGCACTGGCTCCTCCTTGGAGATTTGGGGGAGGTTTTGGTGCAGAAAGATCAGGATTTGGGGCCAGGCAGAGGGGGAGTCCAGCCCCAGTCTGTGCCCCCGCTGTCCTGGAGCTCATTAATGGTGAGGTTGGGACTGAGCCTTCTGTCCTCAGCTGCTCTGGGCATCTCCAGTGCCATGTCAGGTGAGCACCAGTGGCTTTGTCTGTCTGTCTGTCTGTCTATGTCTGGGCTCTTTAACAGCTCATTGGGGCTTGGTGTGGGACAGGGCCAGGGCTGGTTCTCTTAATGCAGCTCCTCTGCTGGCAATGTGTAAAAATGTGTGAGAAAATATCATTAAACCCAGGGTGCTCTCAGTGAAAAGAGACTTTCAGGACCAGCCAGTGCCACCCCTGCCCTGGCAGGGACACTGCCACTGTGCCAGGGTGTCCCAGTGTCCAGCCTGGCCTTGGGCACTGCCAGGGATCCAGGGGCAGCCCCAGCTGTGCCAGGGCCTGCCCACCCTGCCAGGGAACAATTCCCAATTCCCAATCTCCCATCCATCCCTGCCCTCTGGCAGTGGGAGCCATTCCCTGGCTCCTGTCCCTCCATCCCTTGTCCCCAGTCCCTCTGCAGCTCTCCTGGAGCCCCTCCAGGCCCTGCCAGGGGCTCTGAGCTCTCCCTGGATCCTTCTCCTCTCCAGGTGAGCCCCCCCAGCTCTGCCAGCCTGGCTCCAGCCCTGGAGCAGCTCCATGACCTCCCCTGGACGGTGAAAATAGTCGACTTGAAGTCCTACAGTGGGACCCCTGCTCACAGCCAGGCTCTCATTCTGCCCTGGCAGCAAATCCCAGCGTGAGCAGAGTTCTTGGGAAATTGTTTCTCTGGGATGGCATTCCCGTTGTCAGCAGAAGGTGGAGATCCAGAGCTGTGACAGTCATTCCTGGAGAGGAGGGAATTGAAAGCTTGGAGGGGCTCAGCCTTTCTCTGCTGTCCCTCCACTGTGTCCCCTTGGAAGATTCTCTGTCCCGCCCCGGGCTCATCCCTGGGCAGTGGCGGCTCTGGTCCCTCGCTGCCCGTGGGGTGCAAAGGGAAGCAGAGATTCCTGCTGGCTCCTGTCTTTAATCCTGTAGGATTTACCAGCCTCAGAAGGATCATTGTCCTCCTAACCATGAGAAGAAAGAGTTTCATAAGGAAAATGGGTGTGGGAGCCTTCCTACCACTCCTAGACCCCGTGGAGTATTCCTGACCACCCCCAGCACTGCCCAGGCCACCGCTGTCCCCTGTCCCCAAGTGCCACAGCCACAGGGCTTTGAAACCCTCCAGGGATGGGGAGCCCACTCCTGCATGGGCAGCTGTGCCAGGCATGGACAGCCCTTTCCAGGTGGGAATTGTTCCCAATATCCACCCTGTGCCAGGCATGGACAGCCCTTTCCAGGTGGGAATTGTTCCCAATATCCACCCTG